GGGCTCAGTCACTTCGCTCGCACCGCACTTGCGCCTGCCCTTCCCGCGCTTCCTCTCCGGCGGTATTTAACCCTCTGACTGTTGGCCTCGCTCTTCCGGCTGGCATCTCCGGCTTTGCCAGTCCTGCGTCTCTGCTGTCCCCTCTCCCTCCTGCGCCCACTCCTCTTTCTCCGCTCTCGCCCGCTCTTCCCCTCACTCCTCCACCTCCCACTCTCCCAGGCTCAGTCGCACCCGGGCCAGGAGGCTACACGCCCAGCCGTCTACGCGGAAATAGCTCCGGCTAGGGGAGAACTTAACGGCTGCAGGTTGCGTAGGTGCGGCAGGAGTTTCAGCGGGCAGAGCCACCAGCCAGGAGGTCCCCAGTGGCATGGCCAGGAAAAGCGCCTTCCCTGCCGTCGTGCTCCGACTCTGGAGCATCCTCCCGTGCCTGCTGGTGCTACGGGCGGAGGTCGGGCAGCCACCAGAGGAAAGCCTGTACCTGTGGATCGATGCTCACCAGGCGAGAGTGCTCATAGGTAAGGCACCCGCGCCCAATACGGGAGCTTCTGCTTCTTTGCCTACCTGTGTCTTCACTCTCTCTCCCGCTCTTCCATTAGAGAAGGAGAGATGCATGCATTTAGTAAGTTTTAAAAACTTAATTTCCAAGAAAGATTGCTCCCCACCCCCCATTCGCTATTTTCCGTCTAAAAGCTTATAAAAAACTTCTCTCTCAGGAAGCCTAAGCTGATCTAGTGTTCTGATCAAGCTCTTGCTAGTTTCTATAACCCTACATTTTTAGGTGGACCCAGCATTTGTTAGCACCAGTTAACTCCGTGTCCATTCCTTTTCCCTGAAAGCATGTGTCTTTGGCATCATTCTTATCACACTCAGGAAAATTAATTGATACCGAGGCAGGTGCTTTGTGAAAAGAAATGACCCATTACTAATTCTTTGGTGTTCTTTTTGCACGCAATTTCTGATTTGCATTCTTTTAATAAGAACATTAATTCCGGTTTGACAGTCTTACTTATTTTTTTTTAAATCAGGATTTGAAGAAGATATCTTAATTGTTTCAGAGGGGAAAATGGCCCCTTTTACACATGACTTCAGAAAAGCACAACAGAGAATGCCAGCGATTCCTGTCAACATCCATTCGATGAATTTCACCTGGCAAGCTGCAGGGCCGGTAAGTACTGATAACCAGAAAGGTTGAAGAAAATTACCCTTTAATATCTCAAGCACCTGATGGCAGGTAGAAAATACTGTATAGTATGTAATCTGCTACATTTTTACAATTTTTAAGAGTGATTTCTCATCAGATCTTCAAAGCGAGTAACGAGTTAACTCCCATTTATTTGAACATGTCACATAAATTAAAGATTCCCAAAAGAAAAAGGGTAGGCAAAAGAAATAATTTTTAAAGGGCAGGCAAAATGCCTAAGATCACTATTTTGATAAATCTCAGTGTCTTCAGGCTGCTGGAAATGTGGAGACCTCAAATCCCAACATCACTTCTTTCTGTGATCACTGACATTACAGTTTAACATAATATTTAAAAGACTTTTTCCCCATAGTATGTGCCAACCACCTGTGATACTGTTTCCACTTTACAACAACTTTTAAAGTCTATAAGTATTTTGAGCATTGTGCATTTGAAAAATATTGTTGAGTGCTATTCACTGGAATGATGTGAACACTATTTCTGGTACAAGTTCATAGACTTAATAAGTGTCATATAAGAATGTAAAATATTGCAAGCTACTGGGTTTTTTAAGTTACCATTTTAAATACTCTCACATGGAAAAAGAAAACAACTATCCTTTTTATGAAAAAAGCATTCCTTTTATTTCTTAGCACATTTTTATCTTTTATGTTACTTTTTGTAGAGTTTCAGTGTTATATAAATGACCTCTAATTTGGGAAAGGGAGAATAAATGGTATGTGATTTTAGTTTCTTTTGTTCAAGTGGAGAATATATTCGAGGTGACAACTGGTAAGTAATAAATTCTTTCGTTCATTAGTTGGTAAAATGTGTCTACTATGAAATCATTGTAATTATAATTAAAATTACAGTTTCAGGTCTTTTTTGATTCTAAAATTACTTAAATGGCTATTTTCATAAAGAACGTGATTCAGAAAACACTTCATAAAAAGTAGCTATTTTGAAGCAAGACACCACTTTGGTTCCCTCTAATTACCTGTGACAGTTTGGACATGACCATTTTAGATGCCTTTTCTCCCTCAGGTCTGTTCTCTCATTTTTCTTTTCTAAAATAGATCAAATCTAGATCCTTTAACACTTCCATTGTCATTAAAAAAAAAAATAGATGTTTTGGATCCACCAAAGTTCCTAACAGGAAGGTCATCTATTCTGAGACTCCCATTCTACAGATAAGTTCACTGACGCTCTTGTTGTACTATAGGAAAATTATTCCTTTTCTTCCTACAGCTCCTTCTTCCTACATACTTTATGGGCAACTAATTTTGGAACATTGTGAAATCAGTAGTAAGTCAGTGAATGACCTTTTATTACCTCCTTTTCTTTTGCACCTGAATCTATTTTGTTTGACCACTTAACAGCTGGGATCAATATTGATTCTGCGTTTTTAAAAATAACACTTACTTACACTTAAATGGATTTGTAAGAGCCATTAGAAGGTAGCTTGACTTGTGCCCCTCCCCAGCTGAAATGGTTCTGAAACTGCAGGTGAAGTAGAAAATGTCAATAGCTCTTATTGATTGATTGGCTGATTGATTTATCAGTTTTCTTTCTTTTTCCCTTGAGTTTATCTTCTGAAGGATGGAATGTGAAGCAAAGACTTAGATTCCATGCTAGCTCCCTTTTGCAAACATTGGCATATTGTTGAGTACAAAATGGACTGCGTATCAAACAATCTCAGGAATATTTCTTGCAGGGGATTAGAGAAGATGGTAGAGCTGGCGTGGAGATGAAGCTTCTAGCATCTTTTTCTTCTCTATTTTAGGTGTTGATTACCCATGTGGATTATCTCATTATGCAGGACAATGTTAGCACCTCAGTTACCTTATTCTCTCTGTTCAGTCTGCTCCAGTTAGGTTACCACAGGTAACTATGTGAAATCTGGTGCTTCTTTCTTTTCTTTTTTTTTTTTTTTTTTAGGGGGCAGGTACTAAGAAGGGGGAAAGGATCTATCCAATGCCAATAGCAAGGGGTTTTAAAATGTTGTTTAAATTTGACTAATGTCAATAAAGTTATGTGATTCCAGTACCATAATTTTGAAATGCATAGAAATTTTGAATATGGGGAAAATAATTACTTCAATACCAATTAAGTATTTTGAAAGGCATCTTTGGCTAAAGCCAAACCACATCAAAACATCTACATGGAAAATGAAAAGTTCATTCCATTATCTAGTTATTTCATCCAAATAATATCAAAAACTTAGGGATTTCAACACAAACAAAACATATCGCTGATTAATGAAATTTTAAACTTGATACTTAAGTGTTTTGGCAACACGTGGAAAAAGCTAAAATAGCTTTAGGACTGAAGACCTAGTAGAGAACAGTTATCTACTTCCAATAACTTATTTGTCCAGTAACTCAGGGTGTTCTTGGGGTCATTTAAATAACTTTCATGTTCTACTTCAAACAAATGCAAATAAAAATTACAGTGAGATTCATTTCCCCACATTGCATTGGTCAAGTTTTTCCAAAGCGTTTTTAGTATGTGGAGAATTATGCATCTCTCCACGTACTGGCTGATGGCCACATTAGCCTTTCTGCAGGGCAATCTGACTCTGATGGCAAAAGGCTAGACGCAGATTCCTTGACTAGGAAATAGTACTTCCGGAGATTCATGCATGGAAACAGACATGGATAGGGATAAAATTTTTAGTGCAAGCCTGTTCCTCATTGTGCTATTTATAAAAGTGAAAAAATGGGCAGAACCTAGAGATCCGTGATAGTGGCAGGTAGCATTAATAAGAATATTTTAGGCATCTACTCAATGCCATGGAAAGATGTTCATGACAAATTAAGTTAATGGTCTATAACAGTATATTCTGTTTGGTTCTATTATAAAACATGTGGACAGACATAGGAAAACACATCTGATAAATGTCTGATCCTCCAAGGTGTTAACATTAAGTACATCTGCATGTATTACATTCTGGTTTCTCCACAGTGAATGTGTATTGATAATCTTAAAAATTATTTTACATTAAATATGTGTAAAAAGTTGTACTTTAGAGTTAAATTATATATTCTGTATTATAAATAGTTTACTTATATTTATTATCCAGTGTCATTTTTACACTACATGTCACTCAGCAAAATGGTAAGAGAATTTGTTTTCATGGCTGATTATAACCTGTGAGGCTCAAATAATTTGCTAATGTTTATCTGATTCTCACTTACCAGTTTCTTGTGAGAGTTTCAAAAAGCTGCTCTGGAAAGCTTTCCCGCCTAAGTCAGATTCTCTGACCTCTTCCTCTGCCTGAAATCCTCACTTTCCATGGAAAACGGTCTCCACTTTATCTCCTATTTAGGATATTCATTTTCTGACATTTCCCTTTTCAAGACTTATAGGTGAGAGAAGAATTTCTACAAAAGAGGCTTAGGCTTAAAGGATTTTTGGTAATTAAAGGGAAAATGCTCTTTGTTACTGTATATAACTTTTAATAGTTGATATTTTTCAATGAGGCATTCCTTATTCTATTTTTTTCTTTAAATTTGAGACAAGTAGGAACCATGAGCAACCACTTTGGTTTCCTAAACTACACACTAATTAAACATTTTATTTGGAAAATAACCCTTTCTAAACCTAAAGGCTTTCAAATAAAACTTTAACGAGAAGTTTTGTTAGACAAATCTGAATTCTAATACTAGGACACAACTGCTAATTTCCATATATGAACCAATTTGGTGAGAGGCCAAAAATTTTTATTTATAGAAATCATATAAATAGATCTTTATTTATAAAGATCACTTAGACTTGATCTTAGTCATGGTGATATATTTCTATCACCTGCATAAAATGCTCAGGTGCTGTGAATCTAGTACCTAGTTAATAGGGCAGCTCTTTTTTATGTTGGCTTTTTTTAAAAGCAGTGGTGATGGATTTATGCTGAGCCATCTCTACGCATTTTCTAATCTTCTTGTGACCAAATGCCTGTTTCTGCAATGTTTGGTAGGGGTTGGTGGAGGGAAACTGGTGTCTAAGAAATAGAAATTCTCTGGATGAAAATAATTGGCCAAAATTTATTTTATTGTATTTTTTTTAATATTTATTTTTTTCTTTACATTTTCTAGGTGACTATTTTTTAGGGTGTTTTTTTTTTCTTTTTTGTTGGGGGAGGTAATTAGGTAATTAGAAAAGTCAAGAAACAGGCCATTTTCCTGACAACTGACTCACATTTTTGCTAATTAAAAAAAAAATCACTCTACTGACATGTATCTGTAAGATCAACTGGATAATCCAGTTCTGTCATTCAAATGCCCCTGCAGCTCCAGTTAGCTTGTTTTTGCAATGTAGTGTTTGAAATGATCGAACACTGGCCCCGGTCAATTGGCTGCAGTTCGAAGTCTGACATTTCCCATTTGGACTGGTTGAGTTGAGGAGACCTGTATTAAAATGGTTTTTTTTTCCTTCCTTTCTCTCTTTGACAAAAATCAAAGAAAAACAATAGAGAGTGAATTTTCATTCAAGTACTTCCTCTCCCTCTTCAAAGGAACTGCCAAATGCCCTTAGACACCTCCTTCCAACTCTGAAGTTATGGTAACACATTATTATTATTTAAATCCCTTAGTGCGTACTGTCCACATTTTTTCCTAGTGGAGTTACAATGGTGTTGGTAGTTACAGTCCAAGGAGTTATATACCTTCACACTCTTGAGGTTTGCCGTCCTACCTTTGCAGTGGTTTTTGTCACCAAATGGAGGAAATGCCTCGTTTCTTGACCCCTGTACCATGGTTTCAAAGTGGGAATGTGAATATGTTTGCATACTGTGGGTATGATTTTTTTTTTTAAGAAGGTACTCATATCAAAAGCGCAGCTTTAAACCTTTCATGTTTCGATCCTGCTATGCTGTGGTATTTTGCATTCTGGTGTTGTGGACATGCCACGAGGGATCAAAGAGTAATTCTGCAACAGGGCCCATTTCATTTAGCAAAGCAGGCATGTGCCAGCCATCTGTTGTATCTGCT